TCCGGTTGCTTCCTCCGTTGATCGACGGCGATGGCAGCGGGAGCATGCTATGTTTCCGACCTTACTACATGGTCAATGGTCTCCGTGTCGTGCGACATTGACGAGTTGATATTTGATAGGTAGCGAGCATACGCCTTCCATTGCCTGCCTCGTGGCTTGAAGGAGTGATTTGGCTGGTCCATCAGCTTGCGCCAGATAGAGGACCTTGCTCCTCTGCTTCGGTGAGACTGCAGGGTGCATATGGCGATTCCCGTTTTAGCGGAGATCGTGTCGGTGAGAAGTGGTACGAATACATGAACAAGGGCGAAATGGTCATCGATTGCAAGGTAAACCGCAAAAGCAACACCGGAAGATCGGGACGGAATTCTGGGCGGGAGAATGGGCTGTGAATGGCATCATTGCAGCCTACGATGGGTGCCGAATGGCGTGGAAAGGCAAAATAGTGGACGTTGTCTTCGTTTCGTCTTGGCATGGGCTCCCTCTTTTCCCGACCGCTTGTGCCTGCCGGCTTGGTGTCTTGGGAGTACATCCCCCTTTTGTTTTCTATTTCCCTTCCAAGGGCTGCGTCGTTGTCTCGTCTGCAGCGTGTATCCGTAATGTGGTCTAGCCGACCCCTCAAATTGTACCCCTGCGACCAAGACGGCTTTCTGCGACATTGATGGGTCCTGGCCAAGAGATTTGAGCGCCGAAAGAGAGGTTGCGGGAATGAGCCGCTGTCCCCATCCCCAATACGGGACTGAGCCAGGCTTCGGACTAATAATTTGGGTTATCTTGCAAACGTGAAGAAGACGTGAAAGGGTTGCGGAAGAAAGGCAAAGAGATACGGTTGGCTTGGCTCTCGCTTGGCGTACGGTTGGGCACGAAATGTGGATTGAACAGGATGGGTCGAAATGTCGTAAAAATCGCGGACCGGGGCCTAGAGACGAAGCATGTCATCTCATTAACGAGAAGAAATGAGAAGAAGCAAGGTTCGCAGGCGAGTTAGCAGCTTAGAGCGGTGCGCGCACACCGACCTACTCGAATGCTTGTCCTCATTCTCTTCTTTCACTCTTGCTAGGAATCGGGGAAAGAATCAAGATTGGCCAACGTGCCTTAGTGGTTTGCCAAGAGCTTGTTGGAGGTGGACGAGTGGCCGAGAGTGGCGGGAGAGAGGGGTGAAGTTGCAAAGAGTCGAATGAAGGCGACGAAGGCTACAGTCTTAGCACACGGAGGGCCGGCTGGGCAGACGTGAGAGTGCATCGACAGCGATGGAGGAAGCGTATGATTCTTGGTTCTGCCGCTTGGTGCGAACCAACCCACATGCGCCTGGGTATCTCCAAACTGAACTGGTCGTCCGGTGTTACTGGCGCTGATAGAGGGTTGATGCGCATCCTTGGGAAATCCCGCCAGATGCGTTAAATGGCTTGGCGCATCACCTTCAGTTATCGTCTGGCGCCATCCACGTTGGTGGGATTTCTGGACCGTTGGAGGGTTGTGACACGGAAGCGTGCTATGATTTGAACATGACGGAGGCAATGATGAGCTATGCGTACGGAGTTGTGAGTACAGTCGTAGACTTCGTTTCCGAGTAAATTGCTCTTTGAACCCTAGGCCAGGCACCGCAGGGCTTCGAGGCGTAGGTAGGTAGAGCTGGTCGAGTAGGAATTCTGATTTTCTGTCTGACTACAGCACGTCAGAATGTCGGGGTAGGCCTATCATGGTGCTTGGAAAGTCTAGACGAAGATGCTGCACACCAACCAGCTGCGAGTGAGAGAAGATGCTATGCCATGTTACTGCAGGTCATGACAGCGACGGACAGGTAGACGGCGGGCAAGCGAGTAGTGACGTGACAAGAGAGCGCGAAAAGTGGCGGCGGTCAGTTCGTCTGTTCAAGATGGGATATCCGTAGAGGCGCGTCATCCAGAGTCTGTCCCGGCGAGTTTGTGCTGGACGGTCGGTATTAGAGAGAGAGCCTCTGGTGGATAGGGACTACTGTACAGAGTAAGCCGTAGTGACATGCCTTGGGAGCCAGGGAGCCCACTGCGTAAGAGTCAAGACGACCAGCAGGGATGGGCGTTATGGCGGGTGCTTGGAAAGGGGAGCCGAGAAGCTTGAAAGCGAAGCTGGAAGTCTTGATGTGTAATTAGAGCCAGCTCAGGCATTAGAGGCGCCGTAGAGCGGAGAGGATGATTGGGCTCGGTACTTGGGGTGGTTTTGGCGAGTTTGGGGTGGTGTTCCCGGGTTATTTTGGGTCTGCTGGTGCTGGTGCTGGCGGTGGTGTTGGAACCTGGAAGATGGAGTGATAGGAAGTCTCGGAGGCCGCGGTCTTGAGGCTGTCGTATTCCTTCCAAGGTATCTGTAGCCAGTCGTGGGGATGTGAATCTCGCAGTCTGATTAGGTACGAAGCGAAAGAAATGTCCCAGGCCTGATGGCTGAAGAAGAGCAGAGTCCAATATGCATTACTAAGGCAAGGTAAGGCAAGGCATGCGGATGATGCGAATGATGCGAATGAGGAAAAGGCATGCACTTTGACACTTTGGCACTTTCCTACCTTACTCCCAGAGACTCAGCCTGGGGAACCTGGCAACTGGAAGGAACAAGAGCCACCGGGGGGCTCTTTCCAAGATGGATGGAGGCTGCAACCCATCGAGTCGACATCAGGTGTAGCAAGTGCAGCAGGTGCAGCTGGTGCAGCTGGTGCCTGTGGATGACCCTAGCTCCTGGCCTCTCCTTTTCCGAGGAAGGTTCAGCTGAGTGAGATGAGCATGCCGAGGAAGTCACATCTCTCTCTACCTTCTTTCCCCTTCATTCAAAGTACTTTCTCTTCCCACCTTACATTTCTTAAGGTGAGTACCCGACGTTCACCAGCTCCTTCTCTGGATCAGATCAGATTGAAGACTTGTAACTCAAGTACCTTATCTCAATACGTACGGTACCTATTCAACTGTTCAGGTGGGGCAGGCAGGAATACAAGTAAGGCAGTAACAATCCAAAGGAAGGAAGGAATAGGTACGTTGACCGGGACTGTTACCTTAGAGCGGGAGGGGTACATAACCCACCGGCAATTCTCGGTGCACTCACAAGTCTCGACTCTCTGGGCCTGGCCAACGGCATCAAACAAACTGGAAATCTCCAGCCATCTCATCCCTGCGCACTTGCACCGCATTGCACCAGCTTCCCGAGCCCCTCCCCTCCTCTCCTCCACCCTTCCGTCCAGCTGCAGCGTAGCTGTGGGTGTGAAAGCAAAAAAGAATGAGATTCGACTCGAGTGCCCACCATCTCAACCGCGAAAGAGAACCCCCAGCCGAGACAACCCTGGCCGACCAGGGTATCAACCATCGCCGACCCCTGTTTTTGGTGCCCATTGCTGCTCTTCTCCCTCCAAAACTCTCACTGGAGCTGTGCGTCACGCCGTCACCCTCTCGAGAATTTGCACAAGCTCCAGAGCTGCCTTGCCTGGAAGAAGAGAGGAACACGGAAGAACAGAGCAAACACAACAAGCGGAGCGTCTCGCGTCCAGACCCAGGCCGTACTTAGACCACTCCAGTCCTCCACAACCTCGAGCCTCTTTCTACCTTGCCTTACTCTCTGAGCGTCTTTGCTACGAATATCGGCAGAGGACCAATAATTACCGTCTGTTGATTCCGTCACAACCCACGCATGCCCAGACTTTTCCAACCCCATTCCTGAGCTTCTTTTCCAGCTGCATTGTCTCATACTCTGCCCATTCCACGCCAGTCTCAGTCTCACGGATATACTTTGTCAACCCCCGCATCCAGCCGCCTGGACTGCAACGGGTCTACCAATTTCTCACAGATACCTCACCGTTAGGTAGCTATACCTACTCGATTCACGTCAAACTCGTCGTGTCCAGAGAGTCAGAGACCGAGATAAAGTCCTTCCTCGGCTTTCCCTCTACTGCTGCCACCCGCTAGCCAAGCTCTCAGCTCTGTCGCCCTGGCCGCTTTCCCGCCCCATTTTCCACACACCTGAGCGGCACCAGCAACAGCTGTCATCCCGGTCGACTAATAACATCACCTGCTCACCGACCCGGTCTGCCATCACTTAGACTCTAGACCCTCGACCCTCGACTCGTACCGGCCGCGCTACCGTCTACGCCACACCCCGTTCTTCGGCTTCCCATCCAACAACAACACCATCCTCACGCTTCCCTGTGCCTTGTGAGGCCCCGCAGGTCTTGGCGGAACCGCCTCCTACGCTGTGCCCCTCGCCATAAGAGAGAGCTCCGTCTCTTCAAAGACCACGGCGTGCGCCTGCAAACACTACCCCCTTGGCATTGCTGGACATATACATCATCTTGTCTGAACAATCATTTCGCCAATCCCCCTGTGCTTTCAGAAACGACCGATGAAGAAACACATAACCTTCAAACAACTCGACTAAGCATCATACGTAAAGAGAGCCGAATCCTGTCGTGAACAAGAGCCCATCCGATTTCCATCGATAAGGTTGCCCTCACCACTTACGCCTACCTACCTCTCCACGCATATTCGACGACGAGACGCTCTGACCTGACTGTCACCGTTCGACCTCCACGTTCCAACTATCAGTCGACAGACGCTCCTTTCCATTTTCAGACGGTGTGGTCAGTCCACCATCAGCCACTCACCTCGGCGCAAATCACCTCTTGATCTTCTACACGTTGCTCTTTCGCCCCTTCCAAGACAGGCTCGTCGCACATCTGCCACTCGGGCCTTTGAGCGACTCTGTTCAACCCAGCGCATCTGCCTGATTCCCCGCCGCCGGGACGACTGCTTTGCCGCTGCGCTCATGCTGACATCAATTACACAGCAGCTGTATAGTCTTCAATGAAACCATCAGAAAATTGGCGTAGCGTGTTCTTGCTTCCGCAAAGCACGAAAAAGAAAAAGAAGAATAGCAAGGGCAACTCCTCGCCATCGTCACCGCGACTTCACTTCCCAGATCTTCAGTGGGAGCCCAAGACAACAACGACGACGGCAGAACGGCGGCACACCATGTCTGGGCCAAGCCCCCGTTCGATGCTCAACGTCCAAAGCCCCGATTCCGATGTCTCGCCCAAGACTCCGATACAGCCCTCTGACCAGACAAAAACGGACTACTTCTCCATCGAGTCTTCGTCGCAGGCGCAGTCGCAGAGGAAAGACGAGGAAACCAAGACCAACGATGCAGAGCCATTGAGCCGTGCGACCACACTTTCGAGCTTCGCAAGCCCCTCCCCCCTTGAAAGCGCAACAGGGAGCTTCTCTGCCGAGTCGTCGCGGACCGAGTCGTATGGAGGGAGGCCGAGGGGATCATCGATAGCGTCGCTGAGCTTTGCACCGTTACGGAACCCATCGCTGCCGCAGGGCAACCAGAAGAAGACGAACAAGGAGCGTATCAGGGCCTCATCGCCTCCACCCGAAAGGTAAGCGCACCGTATCCCTTTCCTATTGTTTGGCGATTTCTTTGTGCCCCATCTTTGTGGTCCCTCTACCATGAAGGGTTTGCAAGTGGCAGCTTTGGTCGTGGGACCTTCTGGTTCAATGTGTATATGCGATACCATGGAGCTGTACGGATAGCATCTGGGTCAACCCGACGTAAGTACGTCAGTGGCAGATGCAGTTGGACCAAATGCAGTGTGGCTTCGGGGCTACCTTACTTATATGCTGCCGTTGGTTTCGCCTTACATGCGTCGATTCTGCAGTCCTCCACTAGTCCGGAAGCTTCGGATCAAGACTTCGATCCCACGGCTACCTTCTCCGCAGCCATGCCGCAGATCCGAGCGCTTCGCTCTCCCGTGGATTGACGATTCGTCGGCCGCGGCCGTCTTGGTCTCCACTCCGCTTCTCAGCTTCCGTCTCGGAGACAGTCTGCGTCTAGGATGCCTAGGCATTGCCGTCGCTACTGAGCAAACCTTCTCCGGGCACCGATTCTAGCGTCAGGATCGGGATAGCGGGGTCGGACCAGTCGACCAGCGGCGTCCTCGTTCCTGTTATGGCACCCCACTTTTTCCAGTTTCCGTGCAATCCCGCCGGCGTCACTACAATGGACGAGTACTATCACCAACAGGCATCCCCTGAGTATTGTGATCTTGCGTTCAGACGAACGATTCGAGTGTCTCACGGCAACTCCAGGAACGACCTGTGTTTACTCTGACTCCGTGTCGCGTCTCGGTTCTTGTCTTGTTACCTTACTCATCGGGCTACAATAATTCATCAAGAGGATCACACGACACCTCACTGACAGTGACCTTGCCGGTTACGGATGACGCATTGACTGCTGTTATTCGCCAGGGTTACTCGTCGTTGCCCCACTACCCCGCTACAGCGCCTGTGGCTGTTTCTTTACGGCGCTCTTGGGTTCACAAAAGGAAGGGCAAATGGCGGAGGCGGGCGCTCATCGACTCATCCTCCACAGCCACTCTTAGCCTGGCGCAACCGTGACGTCCCCCGCAGGAGGACCTGACAGGAGGGAAAGCAGCTGTCATTGTCGCATTTCCACCCAGTCCTTTTCCTGGATCCCGGCTGCCTCTTACCAAATCGCAACCTCTCGTCTCTTTTTCATTTCCACCCCTCTTGACTCTGACCAGTGGTCTCGTCGCCTTCTCACTCTCCATCCCTCAAACCCAATAGTTTTCACACTCCAGATCGTCTCATCCACCCCATTGCGCCTCTTTGTTTACCAAATTGCTCGAAACAACGTTACCTAATGGCGACACTAACTCAAACCTCTGTGCCTGACAGGTTCCAGTCACATGTCGCATTCGACAACCTTCCGCTGGGCGAGGCGACTAAGAACAACACGCTCTCGCTGACGTTGAATGTTCGTCACCGGGGTTATCAGGCGCAACGACGATCGCGCACCTTCATGGTCGGCGTCGACGAGCACGCTTACTCCGACTATGCGTTGCAGTGGCTGCTTGACGAGCTGGTTGACGATGGAGATGAGGTTGTCTGTGTGCGCGTTATTGAGAAGGAGCTACGAGCCGCCGAAACCAACAAGATATACCAGGAAGAGGCGAAAAAGGTCATGGATGGCATCCTGAAGCGCAACGGTCTGAACCGAGCCATCAGTATTGTACTGGAGTACGCGAGTGGGAAGCTTCATGCAACATTCCAGCGACTGGTGAGTAGAGAGACGTGACGCGGCATCCCTTGGCGAATGGCAGTGGATTAGGCGCTAACCATTATCATGTCACAGATCCAAATTCACCAGCCTGCAATGCTCATCGTTGGCACGAGGGGCAGGTCGCTCGGTGGCCTCCAAGGCCTGGTCAATACGCGCAATTCCTTTTCGAAATACTGTTTGCAGTACTCGCCTGTTCCTGTTGTCGTCGTCCGCCCGACGGAGAAGCGGGAGAAGAAGAAGAATAAGAGAAAGAACGATACGGAACGACAGACGTATGTCAGGATGCTGTCAGCGACAGGCGGAAAGCACGAGGCCGACAGCGAGAGGAGCAGTATGTACGAAGTGGAAGTTCACAACACGGCGGATGAAGAGGCGCATCAGGTCGCCAAAGCACTAGGATTGCCTGCGGCATTTGACCCGACTATCAAGCCAGTCGACTTGAATGCTCTTCTGCACCCGAGACACCAATCAGCGCCATCCAATCTCGCGCAAACGAGTAACGCAGGTCCGGGTAGGTCATCTGCTCCGCCTAGTGCGGCGGGCGACAGCGATGAGGAAGATGATGATGATGAGGACGAATTTGAGACGTTCTCTGGTGACCAGCTCATCAACTCGTCGCAAATGGATAAGCTCCACAAGATGGAGGCCAACGAGGCGGCAGCCCTTAAGCAACGAAAGTCGAGTTTGGACTCTAGCGCCAGTGGAGTAGATGATGATGAAGACGAGGAGTCCAAGGCCTCGCGACACAGCAGCAACAGCTGATACAGCAGACCTATGGCTTCAACTGGAGAGGCAGGGAGGGTTATGAACTAGCATATGTGGGTTTAGACGGCGTTTGGTCGATAGCGTGGGCATGTTTAGTTTGCTGGGACGACATATCCCGTGGATTGTGGTGTGTGCCGAGACGAAGGGAAGTCAAGGGAGGATTGTCTAGGTAGTCGGCGTAGTTGCCAAAACCTCCTGCTCTGCGTGGAGTTCGTGGATTGATACCCATAAAAGAAAAAAATTGGCCGAAATTCCAACTGCATTATCTGTACAGCCTTGCTTTTGGTAATGTACACATGGCGTGTATCTTTTTGTGACAGCATCTGTTATTGAAGGAGCTGATGACACTTGAGTGAGTCTTTGCCTGGTATCCATTGGCCGTTGCGTCGCATCATGCGGGGCTGCTGTTGATGAAGGTGGGCGAGTTCCAAAGTTCCAGACTTTTGAGGTTCCAAAGCTGACCGGGAGGTACAATTAGGTATGTGGCGCAGGCATATGTGGCTGAAGCTTATAAGAAAAAAAAGTCGCCGGAGCTTCTGAGTGGAGAGCTGAGGCCAGGTTGTCGTGTGGCTGAGGCACCCCCCAAGCCCGACACGAAGGTTACGAATCCAATGCCGCCGCCCTTCTTTTCTCGTCACAGCCGTCGCACTGTAACGGTTGTCCGAAGCCAACCAACGCATACCAAACAATGTCGAAGACAGCCTTGCTGATTCCTCGCTAAGGACACCGGCCTGTTTTCTTTTCTGCAACAAATGCTTTCACCCTGCTCAACAATCGAGAAAAAAAGGAGTAGGATGAATCTTGCTCTACTCGACTACGGATACATTTCACACATGTCCCTTTGCTCGCGCGCAAACGCAGACGACGCCCCACCATCGCTGTCACCACCATCATCACCACCAAGATGCCCTGGTTCTGGTCCAGCGCCTCCTGCGACGAGTCCGCTTGTGCCGCCGTAGACCCCAACGCCCCATCGACCGTCGGCCTGCTCTTCTCGCTGCTCCCCTTCCTCCTCACCTTCGCCGCCGTCGCCGTCTTCGCGAACCAGACCATCTTCCCCAAACTCGCCAGGGTCCACGACGCCCACGATGGGGAAGACCACTACCTCCCTTCGCACGCCCCGCCGAGCCTGCGCCAGGCCCACGCCGAACACGGACAAAAGAGCGTGCGGCGGCGCGTCGCGGCCGCCGTCTTCAGCGTCACGATTGCGCTGGCCACGGTGCTGGGCGAGTTGATCCTGAGCGAGATCTCGGACCTGGTGAGCAGGCGCGCGAGGGAGGTCGGGTTGAGGGTTACCGTGCCGACACTGCTTGTGCTGCTGGTGGGAGTTATCCCGTTTCTCGAGATTCAGAGCGTGGTGTCGGGCGCCGGGTGGAAGTTTCAGCGGAATAATAAGGGGAAGATACCGAGGTTTGCGTGGGCTGTGCAGATGCTCGTGTTCGGCGGGTGGGTGTTTGCGTTTTGGAGCTTGGGCGGGTTGGTTGGGCTTGATAAGACGGCTACGGCGGGCGGCGGGGTGCTGCGCGCTTGTCTGGAGAGGATTGGCGTTATCGGGATCTCGCTGATGGCGATGCTGAGCGGGTTCGCGGCCGTTTCGAGCCCGTGGCATACCCTCGGCGCGGTGTCGGAACGGAGAAAGAGGCCTGTCACGGAGGCGGATGTTTCGAGAAAGGAGGCTGGGCTGGATGCCACCAACGAGATGCTCCTCACGAAACGACACCGGCTCCAGGCGCTGGAGCGGAAGGCGGCCGAGGCACAGTCGGGCGGGTCGTCTAGCTCAGGGACCGGCGGCGGAGGGTTCATGGGCAAGATGCTCGGCGCCGTACGGGGCATGGGCGGCGGCGACGAGGCCGAGATGCGTGCTCTGCGACTGGAGATCACGGGCCTCGAGACGATGGAGGCGAACCTACACTCCTCGCTGGGGGTGATGCGCTCGCGCCGGGCGGCGGACGCGCGCGCGGCGACGACGATTGGCAAGGTGCTCGCCGTCCCGCACTATGTGTTCTCGCTATACTGCCTCTACCGCATCCTGGCGACGACGCTGGCGACGCTGCGGAGGGCGTATTACCCTTCCTCAAGCTTCAGCTCCTCGGACCCGATTAACCGATTTCTCGGCCTGCTGGCGCGGCACTGGGACCCGTCGCTGGACCAGATTGCGTGGGCTAGGCAAATTAGTTTCCTGTTGTCCGGGGTGATGCTCGCGGCGAGCGCCAACAGCGTGTTGCAGACGTTTCACCTGTTTTCCAAGTGGATGCCGGGCCTGCTGTACCAGGCGCAGGCGAACTTGGCGCTCATGATTGGGCAGATCACGGCTGTCTATGTGATTTCGGCGGCGCTGCTGTTGAGGAGTAATTTGCCGCGGGAGATGGGCAGCGCGGTGGGGGATGCTTTGGCGGGAGCGCTGGAGCCGAGGTTTGTGGATTGGTGGTTTGAGGGGTGGTTTTTGGCGAGTTGTGGTGTTACTGGGTTGGGGGTGTGGATTTCGAGGAGAATTGGGAGGGAGGAGTGGGATGAGTTTGGGGCGGAGGAGATGGGTGCTAAGAGGATGTAGGGAGCTCTCTCTGAGGGTCTGAGGTTGCCCTGTTCTCCGAGGATGGAGCAAGAGAGGCAAGTTTGGTATGACTATGAGATATGTTTTGATATTGGGGTGGGCGTCTGACTATGATGGGGGAGTTTTGGGCGTGTATTACTATACCTACGGGTTGGAATGCTTCTAGGACCTTGTACAATCAGGATTTCTTGAACTTGGTTGCTCTTATATACAGCAAGATGTGCTCATACTTTGCGTGTCGGCTTCAAACTCGTGGTGACGTGTATACCCAATGGGAGGCGGAATGATATCACATGCATCGTGTGCGCATGTGTGCGTACGCCATGACATGAAGAAACCTTCCAAAAGCTTGCTCACATATC